TTCTGTACCCTGCTCCTTAAAATCATTCCTACTGAAAGCTAAGATGTGAACTCTCTGGTCTTAACTCACTTCTAACCCGACATGTTCTGCTTTTGTAGGGCAGCAGAGAGGTGTGCATGCTGCCTACAAACACACAACAATCAAGCACCAGTTTAAACTAATGAAGCCGTACATTTGTTTTCATTATTGCGGTGCCCCAGTTGAAGTAATGAGACCGCAGTATGAAAACACTCAAGCCTGCTGCATTCCTGAGATGATTGCAGAGCCAAACACTGCCATGTGTTATGGCACACCTAAAAACCACTGACCCGCTCACATGGTTGCTGTGAGTCTCTGCAGTACAGACATGATCAGGTCTGAGCAGCACATAAAGACACATGACAGCGGAGCTCACTGCTGCAGGGTTTAGATTACTGATGCAGGACCTGAACAGCTCTGGTATCTTTAATCCCACAGCCGCTTTACTCTCAATCATGCTCTGTTGCGAGTTTCATTGTGGCTGAAGTGGACTGCTGACTATTATAAAGTGCTCAGTTTCTAGGGCATGGGTTGGTGTGGCAGAGGAGGATGCTGGGATAGCGTGAGATGGAGGCAGATGATCCGCAGTGGCGACCCCTAAAGGGAGAAGACGACAGAAGAAGCTGCAGCTTAGTCCTAGTAAAACAAAAGCTTGCAGAGAGGACATGGTTTCATGGTATGATGATGACAAAAGGATGACAGCAGCTATAGGATTTTTATTATGATGTAACAGGAATGATGCACGAAGTGCAAAAGAACACACGTGTAGCAAACCCGGTGATTTGTGTGCACTGATTTTCTCAGTTAGACAAACTCGGTCTTCATCATCTGAGGCTGTGATGTTCCAGGCTGAGGTGAAGAAGAAGCCCGATGAAGCCGATGCTTTGCGTGGAGAGGGGGGGGGACCTCGACCCGCGCTCCGAGCCTGGGTCTTGTAGAGGGCAGCAGTCTCAAGCTGGAGCGCGGAGAGCAGCCCGGTACTCTACAAATATTCCTCCTCCTGCAACACACTGGAGGGCGGGGCTGGATGCTTGACAGCCACTCTCGGAGACCAATGAAAAGCCGGTGTTCCCGGGAACCTTCCAATCTCCGCATCCCGGGCGGGGTCTGAAGGGTCGAAACCGGAGAGAGAATCCCAAAAAAATGATATGTAGACTGTGGCGGAGCTGGGAGCGAGCGGGACGCTGAGGGAAGAAAAAGAAGTGAGAAGAGGAGCTCCGTTTGCTCGCTGTGCCAGTGCGCAGACAATTACGCACGCTCGCCACTTTGGATGCTCCAGCGCGGACTTTTTGTGCCTCTTGTGGAAATGGAGCCGCATTCTTGAGTCAGTCTCAAGAAGGCATTTGTTCTCACTAGTTGATGAGAGCAGTGAGAGCCGCTCAGGCTCCGTTTCCTGTGTTTGCCAGCGCGTTACAGCTGGGCTGAAGAAGCCCCGCAGGGCTGCCTGAGCACCGGTCCTCCTCCTCCTCCTCCTCCGCCTGAAGCCCCACAGCCAGCCCGCTGCCAAAGTCGGTGGGAGAGAGAAAAAGATAATAATGTGCGACCTGATGCCAGCCTCTCAGCCCCCGGAGAAAATGGGCAAAATGAAAAAGTTGAGGAGAACTTTGTCAGAGAGTTTCCGGAGTATCGGTGAGTACCGTTTCCCTTTTTCGAGCCTGTTGTTCATAAAAACCCAGAAAACAGATGTGAAATGTCTCCTGCAGCAGCTCAGACCGCCGCTTCCCACTGAGATGATGTCTGCTCGCAGTTTGCGGCCGTGGAAAACCCACATCAGTGGGCTTGTTCGGCTGTTTAAGCACCGCGCACCTCATTTTGAAGGAAAACTGCAGATTTGTCAAGTTTCTGAACTGTTGTGAGGATTTTCCAGCAGACTGTCCGCTGCTGACCAGCGGGGCTCACACTTTTCCACTAACGGTCACCAAGTGTTGGTACACAGCG